GTAAAGTGTAAGCACGTGCTTTGATACTAAAATTGAAAGAATATCAAAAAGTGGAGTTAATGATTTCGGCGTCTGAGTGGCTCAAATGTATCTCTATTTTTTCCCCATCTTGATCTATATTTTATTGTGTCGTATATATTCTCGAGTTAGACAACCGTTTAATTTTAAAATTCAGTAAAAAGAAATGATGCGATTTTTGTCTACGGAAGATCTCTTATCACTTTGACGCTATAATATTCACAAGGGTGTCGTCGTTCCCAGCTAGACGACAGTTTTAACTTTTAAATATAGTAAAGTGCAACTAAATGCAATTACTTCTTCATAAATCATCGTGCACAGTAGTTTTACAATATTAGATCTCCTGCAGTTCATTCTCTAAATTAGCTGGTCAGGTAAAGTGTTAAACAACAAACCGATCTATTTAAAAGAAATTTTTCATAAACCTACATTTGATAAATTAACAAATTTTATCGTTAAATCGACGCGACGAGAAGTACGTTTGCGCCGTTATTTTGAGACACGCGGTAGGTGAGTACGTATCGCGAGAGGTGAACCACGTGGCGCACTGAAAGTTCGAGCTTTCCGCGTTACATTCCACCGCAGAGCGCAAGCTCGCCACGCAAGTTTAGGTTTGCCCCAGTGCGAATCGATGCTGTACTCCATCCATCCATTCATCTCGTCCCGCTATTCTGAAATAACTTCACTCTCAATGCCGCACAGCCCGCAGAGTTGTAATAAAATTAATCCGATGGCTCGATTAAATGCCGCTCGCTGGTCTAGAATAATAGGAAATTTTTTTTTCATTCAGGATCGGATTCCGTTTGAAGAGAAACCTTTCAAGATATCCACTTATTCCCTTTTTTGTTCCATAAGGGTTATTGAAACTATAATTTTGTCGCCTTCTCGGTGTACCTTTTACTTTGGCCTTCGTCCATGTCCAAACGAAAGCCTCGTGAAAAAGTAATCTGGTAATCATAACCGATTTAATTATCTTTTTATCTGTCGTATTTACAGTTGATTTAATTACTTTTTCATCTGTTGTAATTATAACCGATTTAATTATTTTTCCTTTATTTTGTCGTCAACGCGATTTGCTCTTTAAACGAACGAACGAGAAGAAGGAAGAAGTTTCAAACTTTTTTATTATTTCCAAAAATTATTGCTTGAGAATTTTTACTACGGTTTCGAAGGATAACTTCGAAGAATGATGATCAGTTTCCCCACAAACCAATTTTCCCGATTCCTCGAAAACGAAGTCCCTCAGAATCGTTCCTTCTCCCTGAAACAAAAAATCAAATTAACATTCCATTCCTCCAATCAACGACCATTTCATCCCCCATCGAAAGGACATCGTCACCAAAAAACCGAGTACAACATAATCCCACGTAAACCGCACGAAGAACAGCTACCCTCGGAACGCTGAAACACGATCTTCCAAAAGGCGTACCCGATATTTCTAACCTCCCGTAAAACCGTACAATATACCAGTATACCATTAACAACCGACACCGATACTCGTAAGATGTTCCGTCCATCCCCCGCCTCGTTATTTATCACGTTCACGTAGAGAACACGATCACGAAGCTGACAGGAAGGATCTAACGTGAAAGAGGTAAAACCAGCAAGCATCCCGTGGCGCAGTCGCCCTGACAACAGCGGCGCCACGTGCATGTGTGCGCCGTATCTCCGCGTATTTGGCCGAAAGTTGGACAGAGTCGGAGGAAGAGGGAGACAGAGCTAACCCCGTTGACAGGACTACAGAGAGGGAGAGGAAGAAAGCGAGAAAGGGAGAGAAAATCCGTGACGTCGACAAGGAAGCAGCGAAATGGAGGGGGCGAGTGTTGGCGATCGGAGAGGAGAGTGTAAGGGGAATGGGGGAGGACGGTAGAGAGCACGAGAGAAAACTGCTACGATGTACCGCAGTACGGGGTGGTGAGCTGCTAGCTGGCTCCTCGCACAGTGAAAAACCAGTGGACTCGAGCGACAGCCCGGCACAACCCTCGCTGACACGTTATCGAAACTGATCTCCCTCTGTCTAACCAGTTTGCGGTCCGCCATTTCAACCCTCGTGCGTTCTCCGCGAATCGTGTTATCGCCACGAGTTTCTCTCGAATCTCGTTCAATTGAACGTTGTGTCTGTTTGAGAAAAGAAAAGAAAAGGAGGACAGGTTATCTCAGTTATCTGGTGATTGTCGAGAAAGTTAGTCCGTCTCGATGAAAAACCGGAGGATCCTTTTGTCGCGTGTGTTGTTGTAATTGACGGAAAAGTTATGGGGGGTGTATCGTAACACTTGTGTCATGTCAAGGACGATGCAGTATGAAAGTTTGTCGATATGCTGTACGACACTTGTCCCTCGATCCTGAGAGGACAGGAAAATTTGTCGTATTGTCGTAGGAGATCGAAGATGGGGAAATTTGTCAGCGGTTAAATCGCCCGTGAGATTTCCTCGAAAGCGGATCAGCTGATTCTCTCCCCCCGCTTTTGCCGCCGATGGTAATCCAGGCTGTGAGAATTTACTCAACGAGAATATCGAATTTGAACAGCCGTCAGTGGTCCCTCGTTACGAATCTCTTAGCCTAAACGCTGCAGCTGGAATTTTCGAATTTGTTAACGTTGTATCGGTCAACTGGAACAATACCTGGCTTCTTCTTGGAGCAATGAACAGAGACGACGACGAGATAGACAATAACGTTTCACCAGTGGAATCGATCTGATAACCGTTCACAGAGAAAAAAAGCTACGTATTGTGTGTAGAAGCCTGATGGTTATCCGTGAATAGATCCGACGTTTATCGACGAGAGGATTTCTGTTACGAAAGAAATCTGTACGTAACGTCTGAAACAACCTCGAGACATGCACGAGCAAAAATGACAAGCGTTAACCACGTAAGCCTCCGTTAAGATGGTAAACTGGGTAATCGTGGAGTAGGAAGAGAATGGAATTGTGAAGAGAGTATCACGATCGATCGCTTCGCAACCTGTCGCAACATTTCCAATAAAACGCACACTGAGGTGTATACGTACAAGTGCACTTTTCAACAAGGACACCCCGTGAGAACGAAATAATATTGCACCGGTCATGACCTTCGGTGCTAACCGTCACGTGACCACGTCCAGGCCAATTGAAATTCTATCGTGACACGGGTCAGCTAGGAATTGTTGCCGGCGTTAAAACCACAGCAATCAATTAGATCGCCCCTGAGGACGTCGAAGTAATCAATTTAACGGTGTGTTTATTACACATTCGTGGCTACCTTCCGGATACAACGGATAAGTGTCTGGCGAGGCGTACACTTGCCCCTATCTACGAAAGGAATCTCGGTATAATGCATCGTCGTGAAGGCAACAATGCTCGTTTCGCTTGTTCGCAATTAGCGTCGATGGGAACAACGAGGGTGCATTTGTCGTGTGCAATGTACACCTCCGTCGTATTCGGTGGTAACGTAGCATGATGTCTGTCGTTAGTATGGCTGCTATCGCGAGATTGACTGTTACTTGACATCAATTGAAAAGCAGACAAAGGTGAACGAGATATTGTCCCGACGGACTTTCCGTATATGTTAAATCTTTTTCATGCTATTGTTGACCCGTAGCCGATTAGAGATACAGCTAGATTATACTAGAGGTTAATTTTCAGATCGTTGTTGAAGCTGTTCACGTTTGATAGTTACGCTAGATACTCATTGTTAGATCTGTTACCGACGTATACGTGAAACGTATCGCCTTGCGCTAGCAATTTTGAAACAATTCAAACAAGTCTTTACCTTATATATATACATGTGCATTGACACGATATTAAGTATATCGAACGTTGCAGTTGTTAAGCGAGGTTGTTAGCTGAGAGGGATTTTTGAGAAAATACCGTTTTATCGATCAATTCTAAAGAGATATTCGCGTTTCACGTTCCATCAAACGTCTCACGAAGCGTCCAGTAGGACGAGTTCTACAAAGTGGCATGGTCGTTAATTTCGCACGCTTCGTCGCTGTTGTTTTCACTCTTGATTAACTAATTGTGCCAATAATACGCAGATAAAAGTACGTAGCGAGCACAATAGCTCGGCGCATTCCACCGGAGTCGGTAATTGCTCGAATTGAAAAGCACACGGAACAAAGTTGTGCAATCTGGGAACAGTTTATTTGATCGTTCACCGTGGCGGACGTTTACAAGGTACAGTTACGGCTCTCATTAACCATCCTACCAACGAGAGATGCTGTACACGTTCTAAGAACATAATACCCTCTGCTACTGGAAGAAGATAACCGTTGAGTTTGATACCTGGCGCCTTATCGATTAGAAATTTACGCCGATACCCACGAAGTTAGTACAAATTGCTTCGAGAGCGGCTAACTTAACCATGTTTTCGGAGAGAGAGAGAGAGAGAGAAATATAGTTGTCACTTGATAACGACGCAAAGTTCACAATACCTGTCCTACTAATTACAATAGAACTTCCTCGCCGAGGAAAAATAGCGAAAGAGAGAAAAAAGCGAGGGAACATGATTAAACTTGTGAGGCTAGCAAAGTTTTCCTAACCAAAAGTAGACCGACAAAAAGCAAAGAGGATTAAACGATCCCAAGGACTGTACAAGTCTACCGAGCAATATCAAACCAAAAAAGAAACTGTACAAAATTAAAGAACAACAGTTTGAAATCTTATCGAGCAAAATGGAAGAAGATTACAAATTGTCGAATACGTCGGCCAGTCCTAAAGTGAGCAGCGAGTTGTTGAAACACGAGATCTGGACGCACGGTATACCGACGACGTAATACGCGATGTGAGAAATTGGCAAGTCGACGATGATGTCGTCGGAGGGACATCGTAGATCGATTCGTTCGCCGGTCGAACGATCACGCGCAACAAAGTGAAGCTACCACCGGGAAAGAAGGAACAGCGGGCGAACGAGTCGGCGTTCCGTCACCTGTTCGCCCTGTTTCACCAGCGCAAGCCTCGGGATCCTCTTCGAGGCCAGAACGCTGCCTCGTCGGTCCCCTTGCTCGAGATGGGCGCCAGAGCATGGGACTACGAGGCGCTGCCGGAACTTCACACCGCGACGGCGGTCACGCCGTCCTCGACACCGCCGAATGCACAACAAAAGCCACATTCGCCAAGGGTGTACTTCCAGGCGGAGAATTTGGCCTCGACCAGGAGACGGAGCAGTTCGAAGTTACTCGCGCCGCAATCGTCGTGCAGAAGACGCAGCAGAAGCATGAGCGCATGGAGCGACCTGTCGAGATCGTCGTTCAAGCTCGACGAGAGGTAGGTCGGTTCGATCGACCCCCGTTTAGAGCCGTGGTGTAACGAGTTTGTTCGCGAGTAAGGTTACAGCGGTGCGCATTTAAATGTCGCCGCGACATTTAACCGTGCACCTTGATTACGGGAATTATTCATGAGAGAGGACAGAACCTCGTTTGGGTAATGGTATACTGTTGCGTTAGAGTGGTTTGTAAATTGGAGGTAGAAAAAGGAGAATTTTTTTGGTAATTATTTGTGAATTTTCGAGTCTTCACAGTGGATTCGAATTTACTTCTTGGGGAATTTGATGCAGGTTCACATTTACTTTTTGGGAATTTAATGCAAGTCATTCATGAGAGAGGACAGAACCTCGTTTGGGTAGCAATGTACTATTGAGTTGGAGTGGTCGGTTTTGAGATAGAAAAAGGAGAATTTCTTTAGCAATTTGCTAAAGTATCACACTTTGATTATTTGTGAATGTTTTAGTTTTCACAGTGGATCCGAATTTACTTCTTAGGGAATTTGATGCAGGTTCATCATAGGGTTCACGTTTATTTTATTTATTTTGTAATTGATTCATGAGGATTCGAATTGATTTTTTGGGAATTTAGTGCATGTCATTATTCATGAGAGAGGACAAAACCTCGTTTGGGTAGTGATATACTATTGAGTTAGAGTGGTCTGTAAATTTGAGATAGAAAAAGGAGAATTTCTTTGGTAATTTGTCAATTTTGTAATTTTCACAGTGGATTCGAATTTATTTCTTGGGGAATTTAACACAGGTTCACGTTTATTTGATTTATTAGGATTGAAATTGATTTTTTTTTTGGAATTTAATGCTAGTCGTAAGTTTGCTCGTTGATTTATATGTATTTCAGTAATGGAGCCATAAGAGAGCAGTTCTGAGAATTGGTCTACGACGTTAACTCGTGCATGTTTTGCAACATTTAAGCGTGCACTGCTGGAATTAGTTTATCAGAAGTTTGTTAGGCTTCGGAGTGTTGTTTGGAGGGCAGTTTAGACGAGAGTTCTTTGGCTCTCATATAAACTCATATTGAACGTGAAGGGATTCTGGAAAATCATTGTGAAATTAATACTTATTATCTAATACGAAGAGTACACACGTGTAGAATCTAGATGAAATATTGCGTAAAAATAGAACCATACTACTTACGAAAATGATTAATTTTATTTCACGTTCGGTTATATTTGTTTCGAAATTAGTTCAAAAATTTTCCTTTCATAAACGTTCTGCTATCACACTTTGATTCTACGCAAAATAAGGAACTCGTTTTAAAGTGCTAAACTTTTCTAGCTCTTCGGGATGTACTGTCTTCTCTGTTTTGTTTTATGCGTTTAATAAGTTACGTGATTTTATGTTCGACCAAGTTTCAGACATAGTTGCACTTTCTTACGATTCTCGTAGCTAGCAAATCTCAATCTTCCTTAAGATCAGGGGGAGGAAGTTAGGCATGTTATAAACGTCGAATGCGCAACTTTTCTTTACTTGTTTCAGGTATTCCGAGATTTACGGCAAAGGAAATTCGCGCATTCGAAATTCCCGTTTGTATACGAAATCGCGTAAACACGTTATAATATACAATTTTCTCTTTCTGGGCAAAGTTTCGATCGGGATACGTATCCAAATACATAGCCAAAGTGTCACACGATACGGAACAAAAGTTTCGAATTCGATATCTGATACTTTCTTATTACTTTTCGACACTTTCAGAACCGTCTGAAAATTTGACAATTCCCTCTCTGTTTTCTGGTATTATTTTACGATATGTACTGTTAAATTGATACTTTTCTAAATTCAACTTCGTAGAGGTAGTATTAATATTTGACACGAATATTGAAATCATATTTTGTCGAATAAAAATAAAAAGATATTCAAAATAATTCATCAACGTAAAAGATATTTACGAGCAAAATAAATTACTTCGATTCAACACATGTTCCACTTATCCAGAAAAATTGCGGCACAAGTGCACGTGATAGTCCGACCGTAAGAGATAGATTAGTATCGTCATAGTGAATTGATGTTGCGTCAAGATGTTGAAAGGAATAATGTGGCGAGAAAAAAGAAGGAAAATGAGAGAAATGGCTCGTATATAACGGTACAAAGTTGCCCAAAAATGCAGGAAAAAACGTTGCTCGTTGACATTGGGAGAAATTCATTGCTATATAGAATATATGCGTCGCATAAAATGCTCGAATCTCAACGTAGCGTAAATATCGTAGCAAGAATGTTTAATGTCCTATATGACCGATATTGCACATAATTTCTCTCTTTTTTTTTTCGAGATTTTTACGTCGACGAAATTCTGTCCAAATTCAATGTTACATTTTATATTAAAATGCAGATTTGTGTCTTTTAGAAATTTAATTGTATTTTCTAAGTGGTCCAGTGACGCAAGAGCAGAGTCTGAGTTCATTTCATATTTTTACACGAAAAATGGTTGATCGTTATTTGTTATTTTCTTAATTACGTATTCGTGGCACATTGTTTTTCTCATTGCACACGTTTTGTCTTCCCGGCAAGCATAAATATGCATGAAACCTTGAATTATGACGACGAGATAATCATCGTTATAACGTCGCAGCCATTTTTTGCCCGTTTCTATGGAATAATACCCTTTAAACAACTTTTCATATAAACGAACGGTAATAAACACTGGAAAGTTATAAAAAAGAACGGGGTCAGAAAGATTTCACATTCTGTACCGTCTAGAATCACAATTTACCTATATTTTTGCATCTCGTCTAATCTTCAGAATGCAGATTTTCTATGTATCCACACATCTGCCAGATATTTCATATTCCTCTTTATACGCGTGAGAGATTATACGGATAAAATAAGAAATAATAGCGGATCCGGTGAAATATCGAAATATCATACATATCTCTCCAGCTTCCCATTTTACGGAGCAAGTATTCCCACGTTTTATATTTCACGAAACTCGGAGCAATTCGTTCATTATCGGCAACAGTAAAGAGTTTCAAACGGTGAAAAGTAATAAAAACCATTTATACGTTTCTTCCGTTCGACGATTTTTTCGAATATTTCTCGCCTCGTCTCTGTCGTTCGAAAAATGTCACGATTTGCAAAAAAAAAAATGGACCAAATGTCACGCTCTCGCGAAGTGGCGCAGCGTCCGTAGACCGCTGGTCCTCAATTATTAATGGACGATGCACGGATAATCGAGGCACACAACTGCGGACGCATCGAAAACCGATACGAGGAGGACTGTGATCCTGAAATATCGAGAAATCGCAATTAGGGATTTCGAAGGCACTGGTACGCGGACGTTTCTGAAAAGGTAGCTGTGTATACGCGTTTGATTTAATGCACCGTCGACTTAACATCGGTATTCCTCTGCGAAATTTACCGTACAACGGAACTCGTTGAAATTCCCCGGTAATACGCTATGAATTTAAATTTTCTCCGTCATTATTCATCGCGGAGAAGATGGGCTGCATGCATAAATTTTTCCAACACGACGGAATAATGTGAAGGTTCAGCATGATCGTCTCTAACGTGTTTTAGGACGTTCACGTAACACGTTCTTCGTTTGTTCTCGTTTCCAACGGTTGTATCGGGCAATTTTGTGTACGCCGAATCAAAGACACGTAAATTCGCTTACGTGGGACATCCTGAATCTGCTTGAATGCTCGGAAGCACTGCAGCGTGTACTCTAAAGCTACTTGCTGCAACATTCGTTTAGGATGGATCAGTACGTGAGATAGGAAACTGTGGAATCTTGTTCGGGGGAAATTTATGGTTCCGGTGAATGAATATCAACGCGTGAAATTGTGTGCAAATGATAAAATAATTCTGAATTTTGTAGGAAATGTAGGAAATACTATGAAATTAACTACTTTAACCCTTTCGTTACTATTGGCGTCCGTAGGCGTTCTGAAAATTGGAGCTTTTTGGTGCATTTCTACCTTAATTTGATACTTAATTTTGCCCTTTACGCGCTTTTCCGGCTTAACTTGATAAACCGAATTTTAAAACGATACGGCCAAAATAACAAATTTTGCAAATTTGCGGTAAATCTGCGAAAGTAAAATCTGCCGCAGCGAAAGGGTTAAGAATTCGATCGTTCCTTTCTATTTTTCTTTCGTCGTAAATCGAATATTTTCAATACTGAATATTTCAATATTACTGATTGTGAATCGTAAATGGAATACTTCGATACCCAGCACGTGAGATAGGAAATTGTAGAATCTTGTCCGGAGAAAATTTATGGTTTAGCTGAATAAATATTGAAGCTACGTGGCAATAATAAAACAATTCTACATTTCACATGTCCAAGTAAAAAATACTTGCTATAAAATTAACTACTTTATAAATTTAAATAACAATTTACATTTCCTTATATTTTTCATTCTCACCTGTTCCACCTGTAAATTTTGAGGTATTGAAACAACTGTCTACCATACTAAACGTTTTCATTCACAACAGAAAGTACGTTCTCGTATTATAAATAAGCTCCACCGTAACGCATTTTAATATTTACAAAGTCCCGTCGTTATCAAACGAAGTTGAAGAAAGATCCGTGCAATTACGGTGCAAGTAGAGGATAATCTAGATACGCAAAGGAGAAGAAAATTCCAGGCAGCTTAATTCTCAGACGAAGTTACTTTAACGCTCGAAGCGTCGTGGCTAAATGCAATCGTGTTGCGGTGGGGAATTGTTTCAGTTGTCTCCTGGTCTGCATGCGAATTTTACGACGGCTTGAAAAAAAAAAACTTTACGAAAATGAAGGGATCAGCCCTCTCTTTCGCTGTTATAACGCTCTTCAGAAGACAGCTCAAAAGTGTCGGAACAATGTGGCTCTTTCCACGAGCTTCTCTAGCTTTCACACCTCGAATCTGTGCTTTTGGAGCACACTGTATACACGCGATGCTTTTAAAAGTTTCGCGCTTAAGTACCTGGTTTCACGCAAAGCGGACGCTCCATCAACGGGTGCCTTTGTCATATTTTCGTGAAATGAAACATTAGAGTTGCTTTTTTTTTCC